GAGATAAAAAGGCCAATGGAAGGACCCAGAGGACCCAGAAACAAACGCATGCAACTAGTGCTTCCTGGCTTTTGACAAAAATGCCAAAAACAAATACATGAAGAAAAAAAAACTTCAACTGATGCTGCTGGGAAACAGGAAATCCATATGTAGAAAAATGAAACTAGGTCCTTTTCTCGTACCTTGTATAAAATTTGATTCAAATGGATCAAAGACTTTAATGTAAATCCTAAACCATGAAAATCTCAGAGAAAAGCACTGGGGAAACACATATAAACAAAAGGAAAGACTTTCTGAAAATAACTCAGGAAATAATTCCAAGAATTGATAAATGGGAAATGTGTAAATTAAAAAGCTACATAGCTAGGAAAACAATTTATTGACTGAGAAGACAGAATGGGAGAAAAATCTCTATTGGACATATTATATATACTACAGGAACAATTAAAAAACCCGAATTCCAAAAACTCAATCCAATCAATAACTGGGGTGAATGAAATGAGTAGAGATACAAATAGCTAATAAAAAAATGAAATGTTCGATATCTTTAACTATCAGAGGACTGTAAATCAAACTACAATGAGATTATATCTTTAATCAGAAAATAAATAACAAAATTTAAGATGAATAATAACAAATGCTGGCAAGATGCAGGGGAAGGGAACCCTTCTGTTGCTAGTGAGAATCTGAAATGATGTAGCAACTATGGAAAACAATATGGTCACGCCTCAAAAAGTAAAAATGGGGGGCAGGGGATGTAGCTCAGTTGGTAGAATTGCATCGCATCCATCAAGCACTGGGTTGAACTCTCAGCACTGCACAAACTGGGTGTGGTGGTATAGGCCTGCAATCCCACTCTTGGGGGCAGAGTAGAGGATAAGAAATTTGAGACCATCTGTCATTACAGAGCAAGGCTGAAGCAACAGGGATACAAGAGATTCTGTCTACAAAAAGAACTACCATAGATCCAAGTGCCACACTCCTGGAAATATACCCAAAAGAATATACCCAGAGACATGTGAATATCCATGCTTATTGTAGCCCTGTTCATAATAGTCAAGTTATAGGTGTCCATCAATAGAATGGATAAAGAAAATATGATATGTAAAGAAGAATGAAATTATTTTGTTTGCAGGATAATGTATGCAGTTGAAGATCATCCTATCAAGCAAAATAAGCCAGACTACAAAAAGACAAATATTATAGCCTGGTGTGGTGGTTCACCCCTTTAGCCCCAGCACTCGGGGGCAGAGGCAGATAGATCTCTGTGAGTTCAAGCAGGCCAGCTGAGGCTACAGAGAGCCCCTGTCTCAAAATGACCAAAAAAAAGACAAATAGTACATGTTTTCTCATATGTAGACCCTAGATTTTATATGTGTGTGTGTGTGTGTGTGTGTATGTGTGTGTGTGATGAAATAAGACTATGTGGGAAAAGGAAGGATCCCAGTCATAGGGGTGAATATGGCAATAGTACATAATAGTTCAAAGAAAGTGCCTTGATAACCATTACTATGTACGATGAACATATAGAAATAAAAAATAAATTTAAAGATATCAGTCATCTGTGTAAAGTACCTAATCATGCTGAAACAGCAGAATTCTGTAGTGGCCATTGTATAAGGGCAGAGCAGTCACAACACAATCTTGCAGATCTGCTCACATGGCAAGTGTTAGTGCTGCTGATGCTGCTGAGAAGTCCACATAGAGAGGTCATGGTTAGGTCTATAGGGTGAGGCACTAAAGAAGAAATTAGCTTAGACTATGGGAAATGTGTCAGAATGCAGAGTAGAAGACAGGTTGGGTAAATCACTTCGGATGATCCTGTTGGAAGGCCACATGAACCAGCCTATCCTTGTGAAGACAGGCCTTTCTGTTTCATGTGGATCCTCTAGGCCTCTTAAGTACCAGCTATGAGAAAATAAGACAGACCAAGACTGGTGACATCCTACCCTCTGGAGAGAGCAATGGACTTGGCATCTAGACATAAGGGGTCATAGGTGGTGCCCTTCTCCATATCCTGAGCAATAGTTTTAGATTAACAGTCCCTCTTTTTACCTACACATCAGTATTTTTTCTGTTAATACTTATTGTGGAGGTTTATTATGGGTTGAGTATGAAATATACCCAACAGGCTCATTTGTTGAACTATTGTTGGAGGTGGGCCTAGGTGAGGAAATTAGGTTACTGGAGGTGCGCCTTTGAAGATCATATTTGGTCCTTGGCGTTTTCCTCTGACTCTCACAAAGTGAGAAGCCTCTCTAGCATGTTCCTGATATTAACTGATAACTAATACCAAGAAGAAAAGGCCTGGCTTCATCAAAACTTCCTTCAAATTGCAGTTAGGTTCACTGAGGCCTTGGACATGGGTTTGATTCTTATTTCTGACATTAAGCTATATCTGCATACAAAGATCTTGATTTATGCTTTGCTGCCTTAAAAGTGAAGTTGTCAATCATAGGACATGTACAGACAGGCTACAAAGATGGCTCATTACTAGCATTAGTAAAGGACTGATAAAGCACCTGTCCTTACAGTCATCTTGGTGCTGGCTCCTGATTCAGAGTAATGAGATGTTCCAATAATTCTGTTGCAAAAGTACCAAAACAAGGACAGACAAAAAGAAAAGGCCAGTGGGCTGGAAGATACATATGTGCCATTGGCATAAAAATTTAAAAAAAAATACACACATTTTTGAAGGGGTATGGTGATGACATCTTGACTGAAGGAGAGCTGTTTCCCCAAAGGAGAGCTGTTTCCTATGCCAGAGTTCTGTACTGGTGATCATTAATTCTATAAATACATGGGTAGTTGCCATATTTTTGGAACAGACAGAGATAGGGGAAGGTCCAACATGTAGAAAACATGTCAGACCACTACACACTGATCTTTTATATAGAAAACTTACCATTATTTCTATTAGACCTAAAGCTGGAGCACAAACGTGTATAAGGATTTCCCATTGCTTTTCTTACATTTTGAGGGTTTATAGTTTACAGAAAGCATGTGAAACTAACTTCTAAATAATCTAAAAACCTTGTACTTCATATGAGGAAAACATACCTACATATATCCAAACTATAGCCAACTGCATTTGGCAATCCTCTTTATTTTTAAATGAACTTTTCTTTCCATGCCGCATAGAATCATTTTCCTTTGTGCTGCTGGAAGTTCTCTTCTGTTTTCTCCTTCGCCGGCAGCTCCTGACTTCTTTCTAGTCAAAAGCATATTTACATTGCCTACCTGTCTTCATTTGGATCACCTTTCCCCTTAAGCTCTGTAACATATCCTAATCTGGAATCTAGTCTTGAAGAATTCTAGTGGCAAAAGCGTTTCAGATACATTTCTTTTTCTAGAAACCTTGAGAAATAAAGGGTATTCCTGTATTTTTGCTAACAGTTTTTATAGCATCTGAAAAATAATAAATGTTGCTTAATAAGTTCAGAAGAATTCTAAAAGGTCACATCTTCTAACTGTGAGAAGCACCGTTAATATTGTCTTATCTAAAGCAAATTTCTATGTCCCAAAGAAACCCTTGTTTAATTGCTTTCCTTTATACTGGAGGTGGGATGTGAAAAGAAAATTCAAAACTGGAAATGTTAACAACTCTTTAGGCTTCCTCCAATTACCCTTTGAGACTTCACAATGAAGCATCGCCACCTAGTGACTCTTTAAGGATCCTACAGCAACTCTTGAATTTGTTTTATAACCGTTTGAGCTAGTCTAACCATTCTGTCAGTCCAGTTGTGGTGCTTCCCTTTAATCAGAACACTCCCACACTCCGGAGGTAGAGGCAGGTGGATTTCTGTGAGATCTAGGCCAGCCTGGTCTACATATTGACTTCCAGACCAGGTGGGGCTATAGGGAGACTGTCTCAAAAACAACACACCAACCAACCAACCAACCAACCAAAAAATATAACAAAAAACCAAAACCAAAACCAAAAACCCCAAACAAACAGAAAAATCAGCTAATCTAACCTTAAACATACTTGTATATACAATTAACTATTCGACAATTGAGAAGGCATCATCATGAAAATGAAGAATGTGGATAGCTTTTTCTTCCCAGAGAAATGAAAAGGCTGTTAGTAGTAATTAATATAATAACCATTTTTGCAGTTCTTTAGGTTAAAAAAAATCTTAAAAGAGCAAAAACAAACCCAAGAGTTGCTTTGAATGCACACAGCCTACAGAAAATGAGTATGGTACTCACTGTATAAAGAGCAGAGTTTAAGGACTATTTGCCGAGTTGCCAGTGTGCCTAGCATTCTCTTTATCACAGTGGTTTTGCCTGCAGTTTTCCCAGCAAAACTGGGGCCACAAACCACATATGTTTGCTCAAACCGCTTAAGCATACTGTAATAATTAATGAATACGGATATGAAAACCGCTTGGGATTGTTCCTGGCACACAAAAGTATTAAATGTTTGCTACTATCTCTATCATTTACTTCTCTCTCACAATCTCCATTTTAACTGAGGCTCAGGGGGTTAAGCTTTATAAACCACCCTCTCCTGCTCTTCTGTATAAATGTCCACAGTTGGGAAATGTGGCTGTTTTGCATCAAGGTAGTAGTTCAAGGCTGCTTGCAGATTTTGTCAGGACAAAAATTCTTCACGATGCAGCTACATTTTCCTTTAAGAAAAGCACACAAGTTCAAACTTAAACTTATCTTGTAACGCCTGAAAGTTAGCCCCACTCCAAACTCAACTACACGCCCCAATTCACTTTTCTCATCCTAATTGGCCAGGGTGCCTGTCACTCCACGTCTTTTCCGCCCCTCGTAGGCGCCTTCTCCGGATTTAAGTCTTGGTCCCGCCCACTCGCCTGCACGCGCTCCTCCCAGAACGGCCGCTGATTGGCCGATGGGCCAGTCCGCGTGAAGCTCGCTAGGCCTCGACGCGGCGCACGCCGGGAGCCCACGAGGCGCGAGGCCCAGCGTGAGCCCCTAGCGGCCCCGCCCCGCCACGCCCCGCGGGCTGCTACCTCCCGGAAGCCGTGGCCGGAAGCACTGGCTGGTGGCGGTTTGTGGTCGTTTGTCCCAAGGATTTAGAGCCACCTTCTGAAGACCAGACGGGGTGAGGCTGGGATGGGGGCCTCGGGGTGATGGGGAAACCGGCCTCGAGGGCCTTGGGTGGTGGGAGCCGCGGGTGGCGTCCTCGGCCTGGCCGGCGCGGTGGAGGGGAGCCGGCGTCCGGGACGGTGTCCAGCCCGAGACTGCCGCTCTGTGAGGCCCGAGGGTCAGGCCTTTAGGACCTCGGCTGCACTTCGTCTGCCTTCTGCCTTCTGGCTGGGGACCACCTTCCAGGCCCTTCTGGACCCTTCCAGGACCTTCCCGATTCCCCCCC